GGAGCAGAGAAGAAGATTTTCAAAGAAATAATGCATTTTCACTATATACTTATTTAGCCCCGCCTAGTACAAGAACCCCTGACCCCAGGGCCATGAATTTCACAATTTTGGTAAAGGACTCAATGCTGACTACAATCATGCAAACAGTTTGACTGCTTGATGTCCAGGAGTAAAGAAGAAGATTTTTGAAGATTGCATTAATTTTAGTGGTTTTGGCCCCACTCCCCAGGCCCGAGGGGGGCATGGATCATGAAATTCACAATTGTTGTTCCCCTTCACCCAGAGATGCTTTGTAGCAAATTTGGTTGAAATTGGTTCAGTGGTTGCAGAGAAGAAGCTGAAAATGTTCAAAAGTGTACGACCGATTGACGACGAACGACGTACGACGAACGACGTACGACGGACGACGACGGACAAAAACAGACAGCAATAGGTCACCTGAGTTTACTCAGGTGACCTAATAAAAGCTTGTTATCGCTACTCCTCCGAAACCATAAACCGCAGAGATTCCAGACCTTTACTAATGTTTACGACTGATTTAGTAGACTCTCCAATCAAACATTGCGAAAGGATTCGTAAACTCCTATATTGAATTATTGCCCCTGAATGTTTGCAACGTTTACGAATATCAAGATCTTTTCTTAAACGACAAGGCGTAGAGACATGGGACCAACTGCAAAAGATTTCTTGACCTTTGACCTTAAAATCTAGGTCAAGGTCAAAGGTCAAGGTCATTCAAAATATGTAAAATTAAGCATTTTTTATATCTCTTTTGTTCTTAACCAAATTCTAAACATCTTTGTATTTTTAGTATGTACTCTTAAAACCATTTCAGAGATTCCATGCTTGTCCCCTAAGACTGAACCCTCTAAAAGTTAGTGCCCCTTTCAGTGTAAACCCTTGTTATCGCTACTCCTCCGAAACCGTAAACCGTAGAGGTACAAAACCTTCAACAATGTCTGCGACTAATTTAGTACACTTCTCATTCTATTAGTGCGAAAGAATTCGTAAACCGTTTTAAGTAGTTATTGCCCCTGCAAGTTTATGATGTTTACGAAGAACTAAAAACTTCTTAACGACAAGTCGTAAAGACATGGGCCCAACTGCATGAGATCTTTTGACCTTTGACCTTGAAGATTAGGTCAAGGTCAAAGGTCAAGATCATTGGGAAGTATCAAAACTGCTTATTTACGGGTTTTTGTTAAAATGGCCTTGATCTTTGACCTTGATATTTGACCTTGACCTTTGACCTTTGACCTTGACCATTTCCCAAAAGTTAAAAAGATATATTCATTGCCTTTACCTAGATTCAGCTTCACGTGTAAAACTCAAGTTTGTAAGTGTGTTGTTGTTGTTTTTTTTTTAGACGACCTTGACCTTTGACCTTGATAAATGACCTTGACCTTTGACCCCATTGACCCAAAGGTTACAATCAAGCTAAAGGTCTTGGAGGTATTTACAACTCTCTCTTAAACAAATGCTTATATCCCCCCCCCCCCCCCATCCTTTCTCAAAAAAAATGAAAAATCAATAGCGACGTAGATAAATTTTGTACATCTTAAAGGAGATCACAGATCGACATGAAATTCAGATTAAAATCTAGAAGACACCTCAAAGAAAGTGTCCTGAGAGTTTAACGCTAAGTCTCTTAAGTATTATGAAATTCTATTTAATATCGGCGAAAACTAAATTTTTTTTTCTGTCTGAAATTTAAGTGCTGATGAGCATAAAAATTAATTAAAGTTTGATTTGGCAATTTCTCAAGTTTTTGTTAATAGCACTCGATTCTCCTGCTCTAATACGACATCTTAATACCAAGTATCCTTACTTTCTTTAAAATGTGGAATTTATTTCAATTTTATTTAGATTTAATATTAATCGGATCAATCTTGAAAATAGCGATTTTTCCTATCAAATAAATTTCCACGCTCTCGGTGACACCGTTTTCTTCATGAAATGCATGTTTCAAGTTTAATTTATGCTCATAACTATTAATTCAATCCAAATTGAGATGATTATTTAATCTAACCTATGAGTTCACTATATCTGTTAAAACAAACGCGCCTATATTTTCACAAATTGTAAACACAGTGCCGACACGGAAGTTCGAATGTATCATAAGCTCTGTATGATTAACTCAATTTATTCAAACTATAAACAAACTCAAATGATTTTTTTTATAGGAAATCTCCATTTTCATTATCCACCAATCGTTTTTCTCAGAACTATTCATTATTCCTCTCTATGTTCCATCACAAACAAATAAATACACGTGTTTCTGTACTATTTAAAACTGCACGCGTCTCTATTTTTATTTAAATCCACGTGTTTTCATTTCTTCTTTTTTCAACACTGTCAGTTTACGGAAAACAATTTCATCGGAGCCTGTAGGGTAGTGCATAGAGCGCTCGCCTTGTAATCTGAGGGTCCGCAGTTCGAATCCTGCTGGCAGCACTTTTTAATTTTTTTTTTTTTTTTTTTTTTTTTTTTTTTTTTTGCGTTTTTCTTCTTTTTTTAAACCCAAATGACACGGAAACACTTAAAAAGCTGGAAAGACCTCTCATTGTTCTGTGAACAATAAGTCTCCTAGTTATTTTTATTATTTTTCCGCCGGACGAATTTTTGTTTCAAGGTCTTTTGAAAAGATTTATAGTTTATAAGATTGTACTTTGTAAGAGATATTTGCAAAAAACCCTGCGTATTTGAACTATGAACTCTTTCGAAGTTATTGCCCCTTTCGCAAGATATGCTGGTTATCGCTACTCCTTCGAAACCGTAAACCGTAGACATATGAAACCTTCACTAAAGTCTTTGACTAATTAAGAGGACTCTGGAATCTATTCATTGCGAAAGTATTCGGTGACCCCTTCAATGAGTTATTGCCCCTGAAACTTTTTGAATTTTAGAAATAATTAAAAATTTTCAAAACGAGAAGTGATAGAGACATGAGACCAACTGCATAAGATTCATTGAGCTTCGAGCTTAAAATTCATGTAAAGGTCAAACGTCAAGGTCATTCCAAAATTGAGAAATTAAGCTCTTTTTATATCTTTTTTGATTCTTAACTTATACAAACTGTCTTAGCATCATTAATATGTACTCTTAAAACTATTTTAAAGATTCAATTCGTATTCCGTAAGATTGACGCTATTAAAAGTTATCGCTCTTTGTGCGGAAAACCTTGTTTTCGCTACTACTTCGAAACCGTAAACCGTACAAATATGAAACCTTCACTAAAGTCTTCGACTAATTGAGAGGATTCTGGAATCTATTCATTGCGAAAGTCTTCGATGACTTCTTTAATGAGTTATTGCCCCTGAAAGTCTTTGAATTTTATAAATAATTAAAAATTTTCAAAATGAGAAGGTGTAGAGACATGAGACTAACTGCATAAGATTCATTGAGCTTTGAGCTTAAAATTCATGTAAAGGTCAAAGGTCAAGGTCATTCTAAAACTGAGAAATTTAGCTCTTTTTATATCTCTTTTGTCTTTCAACATATGCTTAATGTCTATGCATCATTAATATGTACTCTTAAAACTGTGTCAAAGATTTCATTCTTGTCCCTTTAGATTGACCATATTAAAAGTTATTATCCCTTGTGCGAAAAACATTTTTATTGCTATTGCTTCAAAACCATAAACTGCAAAGACATGAAACCTTCTCTAATGTCTTATGGGACTTTAGGCAAAACTTTTATGTTCAAGTGAAAAAGGATCTAGTGATTTCTTGAATGAGTTACTGCCCTTAAATGCTTTTGTGCTTACTATTAAACCTTATAACTTTAAAACTATATGTCATAGAGACATGGGGTTAATTACAATGTGACCCTTGACCTTTGACCTTGAATATGACTTGAAGGTCAAAGGTCAAGGTAACCTAAAAAAAAAATTCATTTTCATTTTTTTCTTCTTTTAAGCCATTCCTGGTTTCTTTTTTATGAAATTTAATTTTAGATAGATAAATATAAAATGAAATTGAAATTCAAAAGGTGGAAAGACCTCTTATTGTTCTGTGAACAATAAGTCTCCTAGTTCTATATAAAACTTTGATCCCCCATTGTGGCCCTGCCCTTCCCCCGGGGGTCATGATGTGAACAATTTAGAATCTACACTATACCAGGATGCTTCCACATAAGTTTCAGCTTTACTGGCCCAGTGGTTCTTGAGAAGAAGATTTTTTAATGACCCAACCCTATTTTTGTCTTTTCTTGATTATCTCCCCTTGCGAGGGGATATGTCCCTTCATTTTAACAATTTAAATTCCTCTTCACCCAAGGATGCTTTGTACCAAGTTTGGTCAAAATTGGCCCAGTGGTTCTTGAGAGGAAGTCGAAAATGTGAAAAGTTTACAGACGGACAGACAGACGGACAGACGGTCGGACGGACGGACAGACGGACGGACGACGGACAAAATGTGATCAGAAAAGCTCACTTGAGCCTTCGGCTCAGGTGAGCTAAAAATATGGATATAAACTAATTCTTAAAATTAATAATTAACATCCACTTTGCTATATAGCAAGACAAACAATACAATTGAAAAAATGTTTCTGCATATCTAAAACAAATAAACTTCATACAGTAATTCTTATGTACAAATACAACATTACCATCTATCATCTCCTTCTCTAGAAACATTTTTTTTCAAAATTTATAAAAACAAAAAATATCTAAAGGTATAAAATTGCCCCCCCCCCCCCTTTTGGTACACTCAATGATGCTAGCCTTTGCACTGCAGTTATTCACACCATTTTAAAGGGGGCCCAACTGGGGTTTCCATTGCATTTCATTAATTGGTAGATTGATTTCTTTATTATGTGTGTTGATTCATTATGAACAAAAAATTATCAAAAAATGCTATTAAAAATTTTTTTTAAAAAAGAATTAAAGTATCATTTTTAATATTTCTCCGGAAATCCTAAAAAATTGTAATATTTAGAAGTATTTTATAACACATTTTGACATTTCAATTACCCAAGTAGAAACCAGATGGATCTGGTGGAATTGTGTGTTTCATACATAAAATACAATTTAAAGGTTACAGTCTGAAACCTTTCAGTAAATACAGGCAGATGTATCTGATAATTTAAACTGTGTTTACCGAATACTGAGAGAGAGCTCCCCTCTCCTGCCTGGGTTCTCACTGACTCGAATTAAGAACGTCCCGTTTGGCATGTTGCCAAGTCTGCGATTGGCAGTGTCTCTGTCCATTGGACCCACAAACCTAAATATAATAATACATATAAACTTACTATTTCAATGTTATTTTACAGAAATTTACTTTAAAAAAGATTACTTTTATTTGTAATGACAATCGACGTAATGGATAACTTTGATTCCTGTATAATCATACTTAAATATGAAACTTCCCTGGTTCATCACAACATAGAATGGCTGACATACCATTTATAGACATTGAGCTGACTGGACATTCCGTCGTTATCCACATTAACATAGGGAACATTGTTAGCGGGGGAGTGGGGGCGGGGTGGGGATACAATACTGGGCGTTCCATTCTTCATTTTCACATCCAAATACGAGGGTTTTCTGCGGATCTGATGACAATAAAAAGCTGGTTACAAACATGTAGATTACATTCCTATATAACAAGCCAATCAACATATACAAGCTCGACCTGCAGTCGACATTCAAATGAAATCTCAGCAGCAATTCAATAAATCACAGCTTGGTGGCCAACACACACAAATCACTGTCATCCAGAACAAAACTGGGGGTACTTAAAACTCATTCTGTGAGTCTTTTATTGGATTCTCACAGAGAATAACAGGGGAACAGTTGGTTGTTGGATAGGTGTAAAGTTATGTCTGTAAAATGTTGATTTATACAAATAATTCACATGCTGAAATGGGGGGTGTGGGTAATACTGCTTAAGCTTCATGCTTTCTCAAAAATTTCTATTTGAAAAGAACCTACCAAACTGCATTACCATCATATGCTTTATTCTTCTGTTTCAAAAACAAAGTCAGCAAAGTATTTGGTTTACTTTGTTATAAAAAAAGTAATACAGCATCATAATATGAATTCCAACTCCAGACACCGAGTTATTAGATTGACAGATGTTTTATCATTACAGAACATGACATCTTACCCTTGGATTATTTTCCTCTTGCACAAGTTGTGAAGGGAACCAGCCCTCATCTCCGTTCAGCAGTCCCTAAAAATTGTAAAAAGATGTTACCAATGATACTGATTCTAGAACAGTTTAAATATAGCAATAAAAGTGTTCTTACTCCATGTTCTGTTAAATTAAGAAGAAAGTATCTTCAGCCATTTAGTTTCTGAAATCAACATGATGATCTTTGTTTTACAGTTATCAATCTCTCCGCTGTAAATGAAATACTTACTTTCCACCACTGAGCGTCATTGTTCAGTAGTTTTATCACATCATCTTTCTGAAAGCTTAAGGCTGGGCGGCCCGCCCCAGGGCTGGGAGTGCCATTGTAATTACATAGAGCTCGAACCTGCCCTGTAAGGTCACGTATATTTACAATTAAACACTGTAAGTCAATGTGTACAATTAAAACATATACTGAAGGAATACATGTATATATGAGAGGTTGCATTCCATTCAAAACAAAAAAAAAGTCTGAATGAAGTTAAGTTCAGCATGCTTTTCACAAGACCTCCATCTAAGAAACAACCTGTGAAATCAGTTTACAGACAGACAGACAAAGTTTTAAAGTAATTTGTCATAAAATTAATGTATTAACAAAAGAGAAGAAAGCATGAGTGATGAATATGGCAAGCTTATGAAGCTAATGTTTTAATGCAAAGTGTAAACATGAGAAACTGTACGAGAATGTGTAAATATGGATGTAAATTTTATATCAATCATTGCAAATGAAAACAAATCAATTGGATATTAAATGTAAAACTTGGAAAACAATGTGCTGGAAAAGATGATTTAATGACATGCATTCAAAAGCATGAACCTCATGCTCAATAAAAAATTATTATTTTGCAAATAATTTGCTTGGAGAAGGTTTTATGTTGTACATTGTATTCCTGAAGTTGTTTAGTATATAAGCATCATAAATATTATGTTGTGTGATTTAAAATCATTCAGTAAAGTAATTTACATTCATGAATACCTAGAGACACTAACTTCTATCTGATATAAGAAATTTTACATCAAAAACTGTCCAAAACTTTGCAAGCAAAGAAGTCAATGTACCCATTTTCATAAAACTTTTCAGTAAATGAAATAAATCTAATGCCTATAATTACATGTATGTTTTCTTTTTATTGTACTAAAAATTGACAAATTTGACATTAGGTATTCCTAAAGTATGAAAGAAACATGTTAATTTTGATTTAATCTCTTCCTATAATCCAGTTGTTACACATAATACTAAACATTTTTCTGTTTCCAGACAATGGTTCCAAATCACAAGAAATGTACAAACATTAAACTCCTCTAAACCAGGAACATACTGGGGTTTTCTCAAAACAACAAAACCCTACTGGGACTTGAAACATTTAGAGAAAGCTACATTTGCAGGGAAGATGGAGGGAAGAAACAGTGGAAGAAGAACTTACTATGCTGAACATGAGTGGGTGACCTCCCTACAATGTGTAACGAATCGGAACAAAGTTAAATGTATGAACAATAAATCTCAGAAGAAAGACAAATGTGAACAAGAGGCCCATGGGCCACATCGCTCACCTGAGCACCTTTGGTCGGCCATTGTGGCCCCACCCTACCCCCGGGGTCATGATTTGAACAAACTTGAATCTACACTACCTGAGGATGCTTCCCTATAAAGATGATCAATCATGGCTTGGCTGTTCTTGAGAAAAATATTTTTAAAGAATTTTCCTATATCTTTCTATGTAAAACTTTGGACGGCCATTGTGGCCCCGCCCTACCCCCCGGGGTCATGATTTGAACAAACTTGAATCTAAATACCTGAGGATACTTCCATGTAAATATGATCAATCATGGCTAGGCTATTCTTGAGAAGAAGATTTTTAAAGAATTTTCCTATATATTTCTATGTAAAACTTTGGTCGGCCATTGTGGCCCCGCCCTACCCCCAGGGGTCATGATTTGAACAAACTTTGAATCTAAACTACCTGAGGATACTTCCATATAAATATGATGAATTATGGCTTTTTCATTCTTGAGAAGAAGATTTTTAAAGAATTTTCCTATATATTTCTATGTAAAACTTTGGTCGGCCATTGTGGCCCCGCCCTACCCCCGGGGGTCATGATTTGAACAAATTTGAATCGACAATACCTGAGGATGCTTCCATATAAATATGATCAATTATGGCTCTGTCATTCTTGAAGAAGATTTTTAAAGAATTTTCCTATATATTTCTATGTAAAACTTTGGTCGGCCATTTTGGCCCCACCCTCCCCCTGAGGGTCATGATTTGAATAAACTTGAATCTACACTACCTGAGGATGTTTTCATATAAATAGGATGAATTATTGCTTTGTCATTCTTGAGAAGAAGATTTTTAAAGGATTTTCCTATATATTTCTATGTAAAACTTTGGTCGGCCATTTGGCCCCGCCCTACCCCCGGGGGTCATGATTTGAACAAACTTAAAATTGACACTACCTGAGGATGCTTCCATATAAATATGATCAATTATGGCTTTGTCATTCTTGAGAAAAAAGATTTTTAAAAATTTTCCTATATATTTCTATGTAAAACTTTTGTGGCCATTTTGGCCCCACCCTACCCCTGAGGGTATGATTTGAATAAACTTGAATCTACACTACCTAGGATGTTTTCATATAAATATATGAATTATGGCTTTGTCATTCTTGAGAAGAAGATTTTTAAAGAATTTTCCTATATATTTCTATGTAAAATTTTGGTCGGCCATTGTGGCCCCGCCCTCCCCGGGGGTCATGATTTGAACAAACTTGAATCTACACTACCTGAGGATGTTTCCCCATAAGTTTCATCTTTCCTGGCACAGTGGTTCTTAAGAAGAAGTTTTTTAAAGCATACCACCAAATTTTTATTTATTCCCAATTATCTCCCCTTGAATGAGGGCGTGGCCCTTCATTTGAACAAACTTGAATCCCCTTCACCCAAGGATGCTTTGTGGCAAGTTTAGTTGAAATTGGCCCAGGGGTTCTTGAGAAGAAGTCGAAAATGTGAAATGTTTACAGACAGACGGACAGACAGACAGACGGACAGACAGACGGACAGACAGACAGACGGACGCCGGACAAAATGTGATCAGAAAAGCTCACTTGAGCCTTCGGCTCAGGTGAGCTAATAAGAGATTGTATTACGTATATCTTGTCCTACAGTTTAATAATTCATATTCCAACATGTGTTCTATTAAAATCAAACAGTTCATGGCAACATTTTTGCTAAGCTTTAGTTCATAAGTACTAAAACTATTTTTTTTAGAATCTGATAGATACTGAAAAGAACTTTATTCGGTAATAACTAATATTTGCCCCCCAAATCAAACTTTGATGGAGATATATTTAATTAAGTTCTTGAAAAGGGGAGTATATGCTGACTTCAAAGCACTGAATATTTTCACAGGTAATGACGCCATATGTACGTAATGACATCACAAACATGACGTAAATTTAAGTTTTTTATGAATTTTACAGAAAAATGTACATATTTTGTCGATATTTTGAGTAAAAGTCACCGAGCGCATGTGTGTTCAGAATCAATATTTTGATATAATGTGTAGAATGATAATATCAATGAAATATGTCAATATTGTTCCTGAACAAACTTGCGCTCTATAAATTTTAAAGCTGAAATAGTTGAAATTTTGTCAATTTTGTCCTCTTTGAAAAAGGATATAAAATCGGACTAGTTTGTGACGTCATAAAAACAGAAATTGTGAATATGCTGCTTTGACACTACAATATTTTCTGTTAATTTATATTTCTCATACAATTTATTGAATTCAGCACATTTCTGGAAGTTTTCAAAATTTAACTTTTGTGGGGGCAAATATATGCAATATACCGCATATAGTTCTTTGCAGTAATATTAAAAACTTCACATTTTCCTGGTATAAGGTCTTTTATGTCAAATAATATAATGCAAATTCTGGTACTGTTAAAATTTCAGGAAATAAAAAAAATTAAAAATAAAGATACAATACATGTATCATTATCTCCAACACAAAAACAATATGTACTAAAAGCAATTTGGAGGTTCACAACATTTTGTCTTTAATATATGTTTTTATTTTTTAATCATGCTATCTTGAATTCCCTGACACATGTATCTCAAAGTTTAATCTGTCCTATTCAATTTCCAGATAACGAGATTTTATATTAGTTTATTTAAATGGTCCCTTACTATATCCATTGATCAAAATATCATTATACAGAAATCCAAGTAAATACAGATAACCTTTGTTTATCTTTTTTCATCAAAAATCCCTTGACAAAAATTACTGATGAAGATTTAAAAATACAAAGAACCTTGTATATAAAAGAGAGCTCAAGACATGCAATCAACATTATACATTTGCTATTATGTTTGGCAGTGTAATATTGATATGTGTTAGTACTGACAGTTTACTAGTAGAAGAAAAATAATGACCTGATGATTAGGTGAGCTAAAATTATCTGTAATAAAAGTGAAAGCTCATATTTATTCTAAACTTTTATCAGATACAAAGAACTGGACAACTGTCAAGTATGATTACAGATCAACATTTCTGAACTGTATTTAATTTAAATTTTTGAATAAAATAAGTTTAATAAACTATTATATGTATATTCCCTTTATACAAAAAGGACTATGAATTCAGCTTTATTTTTTTTTTTTTTAAAATTTTTAAATTTATTTGAGTGGAATCTATTGAACATATACGGAAATCACTCTTTTGGCATACATATATTAAATAATCATTCTATTGATCTAAATTATAATAATTATTAAATAATGATAATGATATTTTTCTAATAAATGATCCATAAATTGAGATATTCATAAGATATATGCCTAAAAGTTTCTTAAATAAACAAAGCACAAGACAAATAATAAAAAATTATGATTGAAACTATTCTTAAAACAATGTTTATTCAGCATAATGCATTAAAGAAAGTGTCACAGAAACGTATCAATGGTATATGTGTTCCCAATATCAGCTGTTTACTGTGTAGACCTGGTATGTTGCCATTGTTGGTGTGTTATGTATTTCACTAAGTCCTTCTATATAACAGCAGTTTGGGGCATTCAATGGCATATTTATCAG